AAATCTGGCTTCAGATTGCATTTTTTTGGCCTGACTTCAGCAAATTAGTAAAGTTAACTTTTACTAATTCCTAGGGGAATTTCATATAAATCTGTGAAGGCAACCTAAGTTCTCCTGCAGATCCCTCCTATATACTTCCCTTTGGTATGACATTGACAGCATTCCTGTCTATAGGTAACTGGTGAGCAGAGACAGTTACATGCACTGGGTAACACTCTCTGATTGTTCCTTAGCATTTCTTCAGCAATTTGCACTCCTGTTTTTTTGAGATAATGATTGTCTCCTTGTTCCATGTTTGGAAAGCACATAAACCAGTGGAGACCTTGCGGCTCCAATGTGTGATGAGAACATGGAGAGCAGTGAACCTGTGTAAACTCCTGAAACCTTCCCATTAGCAATTGATTCTGGAGTCAGAAACTTTGACACTTTAAAATAATCTTTTGTTTTTACAAGTGGAAAGAAAACACACATATTTGATTTCAGTATACCTTCTACACAGTCCATGACACTTATTTTGCCCTTACATTAAGTATCTCAGACCACAGAGGTACAGCCGTATTGTGGATATAGTCTTTGAATATAAAAACTCATTTTCCTCTTTTTGCGAAACTCCTGCCAGACTTTCCCAGGGTCAATTGTGTCTAGTCTTTTCGGTCAAATTAATTATCAATGGATTTCTTGGACTGGACTAGGGGGTTTCCTGAAGAGTGTAGTTTTGTACAGTAGAATGGGGGACTATTCTTTTTCAATCTGAGACTATTTATTAATGTGTAATTTCAGCCATCTAACCAGAGAGAAGAGAGCGCTAAATATTCTTCAGGATACGTAAGTTTGAAAACTAGCCCTATACAAATAGCTACTTGTAGGTGATCTAGCGTTCTGTCCATAGAAAACTGATTTCTATGGTTAGCCTTTTCTCATGACACAGACAGTAAGGGCCGAATCATTCAGTTCCACAAAATTACTTCAGTGGCACGGCCAATACAAGAGCAAACTAAGTGTTGTGGACTGCACAGAAGGTCTATTACTATCATTTATTATCAGCAATTTATTAAATATACGCAAGTATTTATCGCTACTTATCTTTATGTTGCTTAGTACTTTCTGTACTGTCACTAATTTGGCAGAGCACTTACACATACAAGAGTTTTACTGAACAAAGCCAGATCTGTTCTCCTCTGTCATCTGTTGAGGTACCTTTCAGTTAGCTCATTTCTATGCAGACTAGAATTTGTTTGTTTGCATGATTTGTGCACCTTATGGCTCAGTCTAAAATAATGGCTTTGTGATCCTGTTACAAGCTGTTTCCATAAAAATCTTTCATGTTTCAGGTATGAACTAGGAGAAGCTCTGTACTTAGGCTGGGCTGGATCTGTTCTTTATATGCTTGGTGGGATTTTCCTGACCTGTTCATGCAAAGGGAAGAAAAAACAGGATTACAGGTAATCTTGGATTTGTCAGTTGGAATAGTAGCTGTCAATTACATACAATTTTTTATCTGTGAACTATTCTCTCTCTCTCACCTCCTGGTATAAAGCTGTAGCCATATAAAGGACAAACAGGAAATTGTACCTATTAATTCAGTGCTATGCCATGTCACAGACTTGTGATGGCAGGGAGTGCTGTACCAAATACTTGTACCTCCCAGACAGCGTACTTGTTAATACTTTGCCACCAGCAGACACTGAGAACTAGTATTTGGTAATTCTGGGTACTGCTGATGGTTCTAAGCCCTACATGATGAAAATGTGCAGTGAAAGAGCAAATTATCTATTGCCAAATGAAAAGTATATCAAAGAATATAGTGTATTATAATCAAGTTTCTCTTCAATACTCACTACTATTAAAATATTAAAATGCCATTTAATTTGCAGAAAGCGCAATGGCATTTCCTTCCCAAAGCATATCCAATTGATCATTAGATGCATATGATTTTTTTCTTGTTCCTTATGGAAATGTCTTGTTGCACATCAAATTGGAAAAGTTGAGATTTCTGGCCTCAATATTTAACCTTGCCTGGATTTTTTTTTTTTTCAATCTTAAATTATCCACACATACAGAAGGTCCCTTTCTGAAGGAGAGGGCTGAAATTATCAGAAATAGCAGAGGTCCATGTCTGCCCAGAAGAACCCAAATGGCTTGGAGGCTGTCCTGGCTAAGCTTGAGAGGGTGATAACATGGAAGGAAGAAGCACGCTCACTGCTGCTGTATTTAATCTTAGGAAAGTTATGTCAAAACACATAAGAAGTGAGAGTGTTCCTCTGATACTCCATTACCTAATCTGAAGCCATTTAAGTTTTATGGTACTGTTTCATCAGCCACATTGGACTTTAGATCTCACTCACCATACTTTGATACAAAGTACCAAATATCCGGAAATATCTTGAAAATCAGGTAAAACTGATGTATGAAACACAAGTTCAACACGATGAATGAGAGCTGAAGGGGTTGGCTGAAGGTACTTCTGTTTTCCTTTCTCATCATCTTGATTCCTGTATTAAAAACTGCAGCTTGCACACAGGCATTAAGGTCTAGGTTCTCTTCTGCTTTAGCAACTTGACTAAAATGCCTCAAGGAAGAGCAGAGGTGAGTGAGGAATCCAGAGTGTGTTTCTGGTTACAAGAGATGGCAGCGCTGCTTGTCAAAGAGCCCATCTCTTTCCTCTTAGCTACAAGACTGATGAGAACAAGAGGCCTCTAATTTCTGCTTCTCTGTGAAGTATGTGCTATTCGTGGGTTGGGTACAGACCTAAATGAGTAACTTCCTAAATATCTGAAACTGCGGATGTGTGTGCAATACCTATTATTTTGTATCTTTTTTTTTCTTAATTTACAGTTGCAACAAATACGCATATTCAGCAGGCCAGGCAGCTCATCAGCAGCGCATTTACACCAAAAACACTGAGACAGTCGTAAGCAACAAGGAGTATGTCTAAACTTGTCTTTCATATCACTTGTAACGTTAGTAGGTTATGAACTCAAATAAAGAAGTGAACTACTTCCAGGGCTCCGGTTCCAAGTTGCAATCTTTCATCTTAATTTGGAACAGTACAAGGAGGAGGTATGGTTTTCAATGTAAATAGGAATGGTTTTCTGGGAATGGTTTTCAAATGTGAACAGGTTTCTAAGAAAACGCTGTGATGTGAAATCCCGCAGCATGAAGGTTTTCTGCGTGCTGAGAAGCCTGGTAAAATTTAACCACAGAGTGCGGTGTATCCTGACAATCAAGAGCAACTGTTTCTATTTCAGCTGACTCAAAAATGCGGAACTGATATGCGGTAGCTGACTGCAAGTTAATACGCCTCACAGTTAGAAATACATTGTGTTTTCATTAATGTTTAGCTTCCTACTTTTGTTTAGCAGCTTTAGCTTTTGACAGGAAATACACTTTATTTCACTGACTGACTGAAACAGATTTTTTTGATGAGTGGCATCCTGGCCATTAATAAGGTTATATGCTATATACTGTGGGCTTGAAGTCTCATGTTATACTGAAATTCATATTACGTATGATAGTCAAGATTTATAAAAGCTACAAAAAAATTCCCCAACAACCACTCACCTCCAAATCTGCAGATGTGCAACAAATTTCTTGTTGGTTGTAAGATACCAAAGATAAATGATACCGAATGAACTGAACACAGCTGGGAGTGGAGAAGGCATCTGATGTGAAAATGCCTTGTGATAACCAAGAAGACGATAGCCCCAATTTTTTATTTTTATTTCTATGTTTTCAGCTTTTAAAATAATCTTATTTTACCTTTGAGTAATCTTTAACCCTGGGAACTTCTACTGCATCTGAATTGTCTAATTCATGTAATTCCCCAGTGGCTTTATTCTCTGTTGTTGTTCCATCATTAGAATTTCTGCCTTATGCTCCCAGCAGCGGAGTAGTTTATGTTTGCCTTGTGTAAGCACTTAGGCAGATAACAATGAACTTTACTTCAAATTGATGCTTTGAGCAACCTGGAATAAAATTTCACACTGCAGGTTCACAGGTTTCATAACTTGTCCCTTTTAAATTATAAATGTACTAATACAGTTTGACAAAATACCTTGGTGTTTCTACTTTTAATGTCTTATGACAAACATAACTGTAGTCTGATTTAGAAGTTTCACGCCGCTTCCTTGATGTCCCAATAGATAATTTCACAGGGCAACCTGCAAGCAGTCTTAGCAGAAATGATTTAGCCATGTTGCTTGCATGCAGATACAGCTGACTTGTAAATTGACACTTTGAAGCATGAATTGGGCCCTGATAGATCTTGTTAGGCTTAAAAGAGTTAGGATTACTTTTAGATTGCCAGTGTCATCTTCTTCCCTCCGCCATCAACTATTGTTTTTAAAGTCATGTTTTGGTATTTTGGAGACTAATTTCAAAAGCTGAAAAGGCACTTAACTTGCATGGTGGGAGCTGAACTCCTTACCATCATCTGTATATACTGTCCCATGGATTTTTAGGTAATTTTGTGATGGTATTTTGGTCTAGTTGAAAGTAAGGAAAATGCAGAACTCAGGCAGAGACTAAGCAGTTCCCGTGTCACTTTCTCACCAAAGGTTGTGTCAGCTCATGAACATGAACTATGATCCAGTAGGTGAGATAGATAGAAATTCAGAACTTCCTTCATCTGGCATCAGGTCTTCTAGTGACATCACTGGGAAGTTTAATTAAAAACCAAGAATAAAATCCCTATGTAGTAACTCATTCATGCATTCAATAAATTGTTATCGTTTTCAGCGTCATTCAGGGGAAGATAAATGCTGAAGGTACCATGCCTTCCTCTGGTTTGTTTACAGTCCTTCCAACCATTTTCTGTTTCTCCCTGCTTATCTGTCCCTTCCCCATGAGTCTTCAACATTAACACTCTGAAGGAATTTAATGAACCATCGACTCAGTTTGGGGAGAAAGGCATTTTATGTATAGGTGATATATGAAGTGATTTTTTTTTTTTTTTTTTTTTAAAATCTGTAGCAAGCCACTTAGCGTTCTTTAAAACCTCTTCACACATTCCTATTTTTAAGTCCCTTGCGCAGCAGGTCAGACTGCTTTGGCATCTGCAAATCTTCTTCGTATCTCTGCAGCTGAGCCCAAAATCCTGCATTAGGTTCTGCTACTGGTCTGGCAGTCTTCACAGTCTAGGAAAAAGGAGAGACATTGTAGAAGCAAGGGCAGGTATCATGCAAACAGATTTTTTTTTTTTTCCTCTTAGATGTTTGAGAAGAGCTACTTCGGGTTTGATTTGGCTATGGAATAATAAACAGATATTTTAGAGAGCTGACCTCACTCTGTGCTTGCTAAGACCTCCTGGCATGTGGTCCCTATTACAGAAGGGATTCATGGGCAAGGCATGAAAAGGAGCTGTTGAATTTGCTGGAAATGTGAATGTCTCTCACAAAGTGTGGTGACATCACCCGTGTTTAAGGTAGCGTGAAACTTGGTCACCTGTCTGCACTACTCTGTCTAGTACTCAGCAAAACGGTTACCTAAATTAGGGATTTCAGTGACAGACCTACCAAATGGGTGAAGACTAAAAAAACCATAAAGCATGAGTCATATGTATTGGGTGGGCTTCTGAACAAAGCTGAGATGCTATTGCTCATAGCTAGCTAGTCCCTGGCTATTTAGCAGGCCTAACAGACGATGTTTCTTTGCTGTGCTGAGCTGTCACATTGGTGATGAGAGCGAAACAACTGCAAAACAACTTCTGCGCACCCTCACGTCCATTTCACTCATTTTCTTTATGTCTCTGTCTTTAAGCAAACAATAGGGAAAATGTTCACAAAACAACCAACTTTGCATATTTGCTACCACTGCTTAAAGCCTATTTGCAGTTGTAATTATATTTGTCCCAGAAACCTCACATTGAAAGCTTATTTGCCCAAGCTGGGGCTGAAAAAGCTTACAGTGGCATTGTTATCCAAATGTTGAGTATCTGTGTAACTGCTAATAAACAGGTGAGAGCACCAAAATAATTCTATGAGAAATCGTCATAAGAAATGCATTTCTTTCTTACCCAAAAGATGTCTAAATATAAATCTGCATATAAGCACAGTACCTCAAATGCATCCTTGAGCGGGATCTTTCGGTGTCTCATCAGATAAGCAGTGCAAATGGCAGCTGATCGGCTGCGGCCATTTTTACAGTAAACTAAGCACTTCTCGCCGCTCTTCACAGCCTCTTCTATAGCATCACTGCACTCTTCAAAATACCGATACAGGTCTTCAGCTGGATCATCGAACACAGGTACGCGTATGCCCCGCACCTGCTGGAGGCCGGGGAAGGGCTGCTGCCTGGTGACATTGACGCAGAAGGTGACTCCCTCTCGGGCGAGCAGGTCCTCGTCACAGGCTGCCTTGGCATTGCTGATGAGGAGCGAGGCGGTCACCTTGCAGAGCTGGAGCATCGGCAGCCAAGGCCGCGGCGTCACCAGCAGCACCACCGCCCCGCTGCAGAGCTCCCAGATGGCCTCCTTCGCCCGGCATTGGAGCCACGGCACAGCCCCGGGGCGGTGGGATGTCAGGAGATCGGGGTGCGGGTTGCTTTTCCCCCAGCAATGCGTAGGGGCTGCGCTGCTCGGCAGCCAGCCGGGCTGGGCTATATTTATCCCTCTGTACAGTAAAGGCTTCAGACAGGTCCTAGTGCCTGCTGGGTCCTGAGAGCTGCGTTTAAAAAGCTAAAAACACTTTCAGAGCCCACAGATCATTTGTAAACCAATTGGATTTGTACAGGCCCTATCCCTACAGCAGCTTCTTACAAGAAGATAAAACCCTCATCATCTTCCTCACGGGAAGGCTGCTCCTGGGGTCAGCACTGCTGCAATATTGGTGCACTGATGACATACTGATCTGATCATCTCCAGACCGCCTAGTTGCCCCTCACCTACAACAAAAGCATCATTTGAGTACCCAGAAAATGATTTACTAGGCTAGCTAGATACGGTAGCGCTAATTTTTCTGGACTTCAGCAAAATTGCTGGTGTGTTGCTAGGGCAGCGAGTATCTTACGTGTGAGCGTGCGGACACACGTTTGAGCTGTGCAGGACAGGCAGGGATGCCAGCCCCTCCGCCCCACGTCCCACACGAGCAGGGCACAAGGATCCTCAGCACTTCCTCAGCTGTGTTTCTGCTGTGCAGTATCATGTCTCACCCTTAGAAAAAATGTATTTCACTGCTTTGATTTCCTTCCCAAGTGCCTAGTATTTGCTTCTGTGTGTTATACTTAGCTTTAGTGTGGCCCAAAAACCTGTTTAGAGGCATTATTCTGTTAAAAGAAGGTGGCTAACGGGAAGAACACTCCTCACTTTGAACACTGGCCACTGTGCTGAGTTTTCCGATCGCGCCTGCTCTTGTTACCAAAACGGTGGTCTTTATTTCGCGTGGTGTCACGCCTGATGTGGCATGAACTCTCCACCGATCCGTATGGGCGGCAGCAGCCCAGCAGATTGCTCCGGGATTCGCCACACATGCCTGGTGTGACTTACTGGCTTACCAGTTCCCTGCAGCTCACCCCAGCGCTGGTCCAGGGGGTCCCCAGGTGCCACCATCCCAGAGCAGCGTTCTTGTCGCCATTAGCACCAACAAATGGCACTGCTTCTGCACCCATGCTGCCTCGCTACGAGGCTATGGATGTTTACTAGCTACCTGCCTGCGGTCCTTCATGCCTGAAATACTGTTCCTTCCCAGCAGCCTGCCCTGTATCGTGTGCCCGTGCAGAGGAGGAAATAGGAACAGGGTACTTTTATCATTACATGGAGAGTGATCATAAGCTAAACACAAATGCCATCTCCTGGCAGCGAAGACAGTTGCCTCCTCTGCAAGAAGCTGGTTGAACTGCAGGGGAATAGTCTCATCCCCTGGCTAGAAAAGGTTTGATGCTCCAGTCCAGATTTTGCTGGGGGGGTTTCTGGTCTTGGTGCCACTGCCGGTTGGGGTACGGTGCAAACACCTTGTACAAACAGTCCTGGTTATGCTGGCTGTCTCTCGTCCTCTTGCCATGCAGCGCTCTCAAGTGCCTGGCCCCGTCGCCTTGGTGAGCTCCTTGTAGGTAAAGGGCTGCTGTTAGAGTCCCTGAACCCTTCCCTTCTCGGGGAAGCAGGGCTGCGTGTGGCTGCAGGGAAACAGGAGCTGAGCTGAGCTTCTACCACACCCTGCGCCTTCTGCAAGTTCTTAGCAGTGAATTTGCAAACATGGCGTGTTCAGTGGCATTACAAACTGACAGAATTGTTTTCAAACACCTTTAATACACACACAGCTGTACGTGGCTGTTATTTAAGATCATAATTTGACAGAGGAGGCAAAGGAGGTGACTGGTCTGCAAACAACTTCTCCTAGGAGAAGACCAACACTTCTACACTTGTCTGTATTTATATAAATGTGTGCATGTGGTGCAAATAGCTGTAAATCCTATTTACAAAATAGCAGGACAGCAAACTAAAGAAATACCTACTCACTCAAGGGTATCACTCAATTTATTAAATTTAAGTGATATTTGCTTCCAGGCAGACAGATACACTTTTAGTAGTTTCCAGTTACCAAGTTTCTCTCAGATACTTCACGAGTGGCTTTTGACGCATTACCTTGCCTCCTGCATTCACCCACTGCTGGAAGTGGACAGGGCAGAGCTGAAGCACAAACCTTTCTGCTGCATCAGTTCAGTCTCAAGTAACGCGCTCCAGATCAAACATCCACGTCACTGTGATAGCCCAGTGGTCTGCTTTGCTGGCTGTTAACCTTGCCAACAGCTGCACTACTACAAGGACATGGTAAATAATCAGCACAACACTTTGTAATGACAAATACCAAGGGTATTTCTGATTGCTCGTACTATTATGCCATGACTTTTTGTGCATCTCTATGAGGAAGAGAACATTTAGCATACTTGCTTCAATGACTCAAGTCAGGTTCACCTTCTTTCCACACATACCACATCCATACAACCCTAGCAGCTGTTCCTCCACATTACACAGGGTTGAATGCAGGAAAACCCCTATCGCCAACACCGGCATCAGCCCGTTACAAACCTTGTGGCTGAACGCACGATTTCATTCCTTGGGCCTCCTGACCTGGCCTTTATCTGTGACTTAACAAGGAAAAAGAAAGAAAACTCCGAACTCAGCTTAAATGGAGAACAAATAAAACTGCCCTGTAAATACAGATTTAAGTCTCCAGCCTTTTTATTTATACAAGGACTCAAAGAACATATTTCAATTTTAGATAAACAGTGCAAGAGAGTTACAAGTACCTCGGTAACAGAAAGAAACAGATAACTGTCCAGCTATGCCAGTAAGTGAAATAATTCTTACTCCTGCAGATAGAAATGCATCTGTTTAAAGCAAAGGTGGACTTTAGATATTTTGCTATACCTTAGCCCCTACCAAGCCCACCGGAAAACAACAGGCAGTTTGTCATTTGTAAATGATAAGTAGCTGCGCTCTCAAAGCCTTTTGAGACCCTCGTCCTTAGTTAAAACATACACGTTATGGCACAAAAGAGCAGGCTGAAAGACAGAGACACTTGGAAATCCACTATTTCTGGTTCTTCTCTTTCCAGGGACAGGGGTCTTTGTTAACATTTTTTCCTAGACCACTACCCGCCTCTGCATCTCTGTGAAGTACGAGGCCTTTTCAAACCAGAACACCACAAATCACCATCTCGATAACATCAAAGTAAATGTTCCTCCCCAGCCTCCCCCCTTCCCCAGAGCTCCCCATTCATGTAACCAACCCACAGCAGCTGCCAGCCCCCGCCGTGGCTGCAGCCCTCAGCCCAACACCACTGTGGGGCTGGGGAGGTTTGTCACAACATTTTTAAGCAGGCAGTAGCCTGGGAAATGTCATCTATAAGCACTGAAAGGTCCCAGGCTCTGTGCCAGCCCAGGCACAGGCTCAGGGCTTGTCTCGGCCTGGGCTGACTTCAGCTTGTTGAGCTGTGCCAGTGGTTGTCTAGTTGTCGGGTAACTACGGTTTGCTTTAGTTTAGAGCGATACCGAGTCAATATCTGGGGGCACTCGGCCGTTGTGGCTCCCCAGTGGAAGGTAGCATGGCCAAGTACAGTCCCAGGCCACCAAACTACAGCAGGTCGGGGAAACTGCTTCAGGGTGATGAAGAAAACAGAAAACCTGAATAACCAGGAACTGACAAAAAGCAGCAGTGTAGGCAGATCGCATGAAAAGTTACACAAAATAAACCCAAGCGGACCCAGGGCCGAGGAGGGAGGAAGCGCCTCCACCAACATCACGCGCCTTCTGACAAAGAGGGGGAAGAGTCCCCGGTGCTGCCCTCGACCGCCCGACACTGGTCTAACCCCAGCAGGACTGAAGCCATCACCCTCGGGGCCCAGAGGGACACTGAAGTGGGACCTCAACCCCAGCCAAAGGGGAAAGGCATCAGGAAGGGTTTCTCCTGCCTAAACAGTTTTTACTGTATCCTTGAGGCTTTGCCTTATTCATTTGGCCTATTAAGTTTTATTATTGTAAGAGGACCAAAAATTTGGGCTATTAAATTGTGAAAATATTAACTGGACAATCAGTAAATTCTTGACTTCACATTTAAGATGTGTTCCCCTTGAGGCCCATAAGAATCTTTTGAGGGTAACAGGCTGACAGCAAAGGCTAACTGCACAGAAATGGAAATGACAAGGACTTTCCTTTCTGTCTCCCATTCTGCAAAGTGAAACATTGACCTTGGCATCCATGTGTTAAAACTCCAATCCAATCCAACCGTTTTTCGAAGAGGGTACAATGTTTTAATGCCCCCTCTCCGTCTTTTTTTGCTTTGGATGTAAATTTCCTGCAGAATTGGTTGTGAGGGTTTCTGTAACTGAAGGCTAAATTTGTATTGGCATTTCTGGTTTAAAAAAAAAAAGAAAAGGAAATCTTTAGAGCACTAGAAGTAACAGGAACTTGCCATATTTCTAGAATTAAATAAATCTGTATAAAGCCGTGACTTGTATTTATCCACTTCTGGGTTCTGATGGGTCTAGCGGCGTTGTCTGTCCTTTAGCCAACGTCCAGCATCCTGGCTTTCATTTCTGAAACCTTACGAGATTAGATCAGTTTTAACCTTATAAGAAGGCGAGTACAAGGCAGACAGGATAACAAGTCAGTAATGTTAGTCCCTGTGACTTGGAGAAGCCAGTCAAAGATGGCCTAAAAATCTCTGCCTAGCCTGAGGCACCGTCAGCATTGTTACCTGGCCCCAGGGAGGGCAGGCGACAAGCTCCCTCCGCGCCCGCCTGCACCAGCTTTTGCCATTACCTTGCTCATGTTCTCGTCTTCCCTTAAATTGCACACTCTAGAAACTGCTAATGTTAAAAATGTTTGGTTTTGCCCTTTCTTAGAAAACAGCCAAACCCTAATCCCATGATGTTTGCTCAGCCCAAAGACACGTCTCCTCTGGCAGGACAG